TGGGGGAGGCTGAGGCAGAAGGACTGTAAGTTTGATCCCAGCCTGGGCAATGTAGCAAGACTCCATCTCAAAATTTAAAAATAAAAAATTTCTGGGGATATGGCTCAGTGTGAAGACCATGGGTTAAATCTCCAGACCTCAAGGGGCCAGGGCATCACGGCACCCTGCTAGACAACTGCGGAGCTCCACACTCTCCAGTACGGCCTCACTTGCCCATGCAAACAAGTCACCTGGCTTAGAAAGCTTTCTCACCCATAGGATGAGGCAGCAGCTCAGTATAGCCTGGAGGCATTTCAGTCTGGCCCCCAGCTGATCTCCCAGGCTCATGTTCTATTTTCTCAACCATGGTGCTTTCCTTTACTGGAGCACTTGAGATGTTGTTATACCTCTGTAACTTTGCCTGGTGCCTGGGCTGTTCCTGCTATTGGAATGCTTTTCTTTCCTCGTTTTTTTTTTTTTTTTTTTTTTTTTTTTTAGACAGTGCCTCACTATGTAGTTCAGGCTGTTCTCAAACTTGCTACATAGCCGAGCCTGGCCTCAAACTTGAGATCCTCCTGCCTCAGCCTTCTGAACACTGGGATTACAGGTATGCACCACCATGCCAGCCTGGAATACTTTTTTCTGCAGACTTTACTCTTAAAATCTCAAACTCTTGAAGGCCAAATGCAAGGTTCTCCTCTTTCTTGGATACTTCCATGACCAGTCCACCTCTAAAAGCCCCAGACGCAATTACTCACTGTTAGGTCTCTCAAAACACTTTCTCTAGCTCAGTGAGGTAGCAAATGCCTGTGACCCCAGCACTCTGGGAGGCCGAGGCAGGAAATTTGCAAGTTTGAGCCCAGCCTAGGCTACTTTTGAGACCTTATCTGAAAATAAAAACTAAAAAGGGCTAAGGAGTATAGCTCAATGAAAAGGCCTTGGGTTCAATCCCTAGTACCACAAACAAACAAAACTACTTTGTCTAGCTGTCATTACTTCCAATACGGTATACTTGGGTATTATCTTAATTAAATTATCATTAAATAGAGACGCTGTTTAACTTATGATGGGGTTGCAGTGCAATAAATCCAGTGTAAAGTCAAAAAGTCTAAATCATCTATAATTAACTGAGTGCTTATTTGTTTAATAGCCTCCTCCCCTGCTAGACTGTCAGTTCTGGGAGGGGAAGTAGAGGGCCCATGTCTGTCATATAACCTCACTGATGGGAACAATGTCCAGGATCCTGGAGCTGTGGTGGTTTGGTCTGGTTTGGTCCGGTTTGGTTTGGTTTGATTTGATTTGGTTTGGTTTGGAGACAGGGTCTCGCTATAAAGTTCAGGCTGGCCTTGAACTCGTTGTAGTCTTCCTGCTTCAGCCTCTCGAGCACTTGGGATTACAGGTGTGCGCTACCGTGCTGGGCCAGAGCTCACTGTTAAGGGACTATCTGAAAGGCCTGAGATCTTGAACCCCCACTATCTTACTCTGTGCTGCTATAACAAAATACCTGAGACCAGGTAATTTATAAAGAACAGAAACTGATTTCTTTGCAGTTCTGAGGCTGAAAAGTCCAAGATCAAAGCAGCAGGAGATTTGGTGTCTAGTGAGGGCTGCCACCTGCTTCCTATATGATGTCTTCTTGCTGTGTCCTCTGGCAGGGTGGATACTGTTTACACATGGCTGGACTGGCTCCTGCAAGCCCTTTTATAAGGCACTGACCCATTCATGAAATTGGAGCCGGCATGGCCTAGTCACCTCTTAAATGCTGGGTTAAAGGTCTCCCTGGGGTTCCAGCCCAACAGCTGTCATGTCGGAAGCCTCTCCAGCGTAGGTAAGGTAAATGAGTCAGGGACCCTAGAGCTGTATGTCCAATAGAGGAGATACCAGCTACAAGTGGCCATTTACATTTAAATTAATTAAAGTTACATTTATAATTCAGATTCCTCCTCCAGCTAGCAATATTTCAAATGTTCGATAACCGTTTGTGGTATTTGCACATGATGGAGTACTACTCTGCCATAAAAAAGCTAAATTTGACTCATGTGTAGGAAAATGGATGCACCTTGAGATCATAATGTTCAGTGAAATAAATCAGACACACAAGCTTAAATACCTCATGGTTTCTCTTTAAGAGAAACCCAAAGTATAAATAAAGAGCAAAGCATAGATAATAAAAAGTAGAGAGACAGATCTTTCTCAAAGAGGATCGGGAGTTGGGTGGAGGCAGGAGAGAGGGGATGCAAAACAGGAATTAAGGTGTGTTAAGTACATGTACCAACTCCACAGTGGGAAGGTAAACAGTATGTGCTGCAAACATGTACTGATCAAAAACCCATCTGTGGCATCGGACAGTACGGAATTGTAATACATTTCCACCATGGCAGAAACTTCTATTGGACACCACTGGATTAGACCGTTACCCTAACTCTATGCTTGCTGTAAAATATAGCAGTCTTGCAGCGCCTCAGAGGGCATGCTGTAGGTCCAGGCTGCCTCAGTTTGAGCCCCAGCTCTGCCAGTCACTAGCTGTGACGTTCAACCAGTTACCTCACATCTGTGTTTCATTTTCTTCACCTGTAGGTTGGGGAATCTCGGCAATATCTACTCATGAGGTCGCTGCAAGGATTCAAGGGGATAGTGTGTCTCAAACACTTGGAAAGTTAGCCAACTCCTGCAATGTTTTAACACCTCCTATTTGCTTTTAACCTTCACAATTTCCCCATTCACTAAATGGGTGCTATTATGATTCCTGTTTATGGACAGGGAAACTGAGTGCTGGAGGAAGCTGTCCCAAGTCGCGTGGTGAATCAGTGACCGAGCTGATTTGAGCTCCAGAGTCCTCAGTTTTTCTAGACTTGAAGCTACATCTCCCTACCAGGGGTGGGACTGGGTTTGCCCCCACGCCAACTGGCACAGTTCTTGATCTCACTCCACAGCCCTTTCTGCCAGATGAGCTTCTGCCAACCTGACCAGGGGCTCCAAGCACTTGACCCTCATCCGCAGGGGCCTCTGCCATCAGCTGGCGCCCGTCAGAAAGCCTTCTCCTGCCTGGTGCCCTGATGCCAAGACGCGGGACCTGCAACACTGTGCAAATAGAATATGAATTCTGCTGACAGGGTAATAATAAGGCTCCTAAATCAGCACTTGGACTTTTTGCTTTACATGTATTACTCAAATTACATGTCAGGGATTAATATACATTATAAACCAGATGTGCCAGTTACATATTTCTCTCTGAACATCTCTCAGGTGCCTCTTAAAAATGCGACTGGTGTTAATCACACATCCTCCCACCAACCCAGGCCCTTCATGGGGCCACACCAACAGCAGGGGAGCCGGAGAGGGGCCCCGAAGAAGTGGAGGCTCAGAGGAGTGAGAGGCTCAAAGGCTGATTTTCTCTCACTGGGATCAGGGTTTCACAACCACTTCTGTATCCTTCCAGTGCACAGGCTGTGCATTTCTGCCTGGGATCCTCAGTACTTAGCCAGGATCTAGCACATAGTACATGTTCAGAAAGCGTGCTAGAGGCTGCTGATCGCCTACCTGATGTCTCTCCTTCCCTTGCTTACAATGAATGAGATCCAGATACTGCTTGAGGCTATAATGTACCAAGCTAAAAATACTCCCCTTTGCATTTCCTTTGTGACTAGTAATGGGTATGGGAACCAGCTTTGGCCAGTGAGATGGAAGAAGAAATATTCTGGGAATTTGTGAGAAATTTTAATATAAATTTTAATGTATTATGTTCTTGTCTTGGTTACTTTTTTCTCGTTGCTGGGACAAAATACCTGACGCCCAAAATTAAGGAAGGAAAGGTTTATTTCACTTACAGTTTGTGGAGGTTTCAGTCCATACTTGGCAGATTACAAGGCAGACTGGCACATGGCAGAGGGCTGCAGCTCATGGCAGCAGAACACAGCAAAAGCAACTAGCATAGCCCAGAGAGGAATGGAGGAGGAATGGCCTCGAGCACCCTTTTCCTGTCTCTTACATATGCAAACTATCTACCCAAGGACGGGTGCAGCTCTCACACCCATCAAACTCTAAAAGCCTGCCCCATGGCTGCTTGAGGCTTTGGGGGGACACACAGATTCAAACCATAACAATTCTTTTTCTCCCTATCTAGAATATAGTTGTGATGGTCACAGTTGCAGCCATCCTACAACCAAGAGGTAATGAGCATGAAAATAAAGGCTTACATGTTAAGATAGGAACATGAGAAGATGGAAAGAGCCTGGAACCCTTTGGACATATTTAGCCTTTGTGCTAGCCCTATTCTGCTTACCTCCAGATATGTAATTATGTGAATAAAGAAGGTAAATAAGCTCCTCTTTTAAGCCAGCAGTTACCAGAGCTTATTGTATTCCTGATATATTTGGTTTGGGAGAGTCTGCCATCCACAGAGAAGCAACTCTTGGGCCAGCCCATTGGACCTTGCCTTTCTTCCCTGAATAGTGCCCATCACCATAATTTCTGCCTCTGCCTTCTCACCCTGGCACATTGTATACACAGCTCCTCTTTTCCCATTCCTGTTGCCTGCCTGGCTTCTGTAGGCATTTGGTGTATGACATCTGCTCTTGGTAATCTCTATAAGCCCCCTGAGTCATGATGATGATAATAATTGTGGTTATAAAGGTAATAGCAGTTACTGATGGCTACTATGAGCCAAGTAGCTTGGTGAGAGTTTCACATACATTACCTTACTTTGTCCTTAAACGGGAAGAGCCCTCTGTTAGCCCCACTGTACAGGTGAGAAAACAAAACCCAAGATACAGTGAGTCAACCAAAATTTCCTCGTTTGAGTAGAGTGCTGTTCATTTGGGCTTTGAACACAGGCATTGTGATCTCAAAGTGGGTGCCTCCTAACCAATAGGCTATACAGCCTTCCTATGAATTAAGAAAAAATAAAAAACGACAGCTGGAGAAAAAAGGGAGAGAGAGACAGCGAGAGAGAGACTGAAGTGCCAAAGTGAGAGGCGGGGGGCGGGGCTAGTTACCTTGACTGTGTTCTGTTTCCTTGTGAGGCCTGGCTGCAGTCTGAACTTGGATTACAAGGAACTGGCATTCATAAGCGCAAGCAACAGAAACTGATTGGGAATTTAAGCAGAAGAGGAATCAGAGGAGAAGCCACTGGGGAGTCTGGCGTTGATTGCTGGGAAGGCTGCAGTAGCAAATCTGAACACCATGCTAGCAGAGGCACAGGGCTAATCTGGTCCCAGAACCCTCCACTTCTGCTAACCGTACCCAAGCTCCTCCTCCCATGGACACTAGGAACAGTCACTGGCCTTAGAGCCTGAGCTTTTCCTGACACAGGTTAGTGCTGCTTCTGTGGCCACCACCACTAGTCTGGGCCTCTGCACCACCTCGTGTCTTTGTGTCACTGGCGTCTCATTCAAAGCAAGGTTTGTGCCTCTCACCCTCAAAACTTAGGTTAGAGGTCAAAACCTTAGCTGCAAGGGAAGCTAGGAAAGGCAGCAGCTAGCATTTCCACATCCCACAAGGGGACAAGTTGTATTTCCCACCAAGATTCCCAGGGGGAAAAGTTCCCAGATGTGAGTATGGATTTCTGAGGCTGGGCAGCCAAAAGGGACAGTGAGCCCCTGAAAATTCCCAAGTGTCCCCTTTTAAAGAAGCTAGCTCCGTGATCACTATCACTGAGCTACACGGGAAAGATGAGGTACAACTGGAGCAATGATGGAGAGAGAATATGAAAGTGAGGAAGGGAGGAGGGAAGCCAAGAGGAAGAGGAGACATGCTGAGGTAGCAACATTGGGGGGCAGTATGACTCCCGGCCTAAAGGGGCAGGAGACACGGTGTTGTTTATGGGAATGTGGAAGGAGCTAGAGCTGGAGAAGGAGCTTCAGAATAGTACCCATCCTTGGCTCTGGCGAGGGGAGAACTGGGGGAATAAACACCCTCATTTCTCTTTTCTTGCTTCCTGCAGTTTTCTGCAGGTATCTCCCAAGGGGCAACAGGAAGCCAGAGAACGAGGGATCGTGACACATTCATAAAGGTGAGCTCTGCGGCAGTTTGGGAAGGTGAAACCGAATAGCTAACAACCCACGGTGTGGCCTTGACCCTATCCTTCAGTCACTCTGAATTGATTTGTCCACTTTATATTGAGGAGATGCTGACATTTTGCAGTTCTCTCTCCAGCCTTCTCTGCTTCTCATGTCTCCTGCGGCCTACACCTACCCTGTAAATCTGCCCCTATGGCAGCCTCTGCTTGACGGTCAAAGCCTTTGGTTTCCAAAAAGCAGGGCCTTTTCTATGTGGTCACAATGATTCTTTGCTCCAAGTGGAATCAATTCTCCACCCAGCTTCTAAAATTCTGATTTGAGGACTTCCTGGGAATTTTGCTGTATGAGCTATTTGCCCTTTCAAGGTGTAAAATGTCTGTCCAGGCTTCCAGGGTTGCCTCAATAGGGCTGTTTCTTTAATCCTTAATGCCTCACTTGGTCTCTTTTTCCTCTCACAACTTGATCCTCCAGCCGAATTCTGTCCTAGCTTCCCAGTCTCCACTGAATGATCAGCTCTCCGTGACCTGGTTCTCAGCCTCCTCTCTTCTCCTGCTTACTACAAAGAATATCTCATTGCTACCTTACTCTTTAGTGACCAGCATGGTTTGAAATGTTCTTGCCTAGATCTCTGATGGGAAAAGCAAAGTTCTGAGCAGACGACCTAGATCAATGAACAATGGAACTATGAAGATAAAGCTTAAAGGAGAGGGGCAACCCACGTTTTGGACCCCTTTCACTCTTAGAAGCTTTCTTTCAATAAATTCTTCCTACTCTAAACCTCCATTGTTCCTAGAGTTCATTCCTCAGTTTTAAAGAACACAAACTTAGTGTTTTGGACATTTAGCAGGTTGGGAGTTTCTTTCCCCTATATCATTTGGAGATCGTCCACTGAGATAATTGGACAGAGACTTAAAGCTGTAGGTCTACCCAAAGCAAGAACACCTGGAGCCTATTGAGGGCCTTTATTTAGACCCTCTGTGGAGTATCTCTTACTGCCAATCACAACTATGACCCTCTTCAGCTGGGAGTAACCAGATCGGGTCTTCACCCCTTGCCCCCTCACAGTAGTTAGGGGTACTTCTTCATCGGGGTAATATTATAGACAGCTAAGTTAGGTAGAAATATTGTAGGCAGTCGGGCAGGGCTGGGCCCTGGAAAGGTCAAAGCAGAAGACAACTGTGGCTGGAGGCGCATTCGCTGAAGGCCAGACTTCAGGAAAAAAAGCAAATGCTCACGCATATACTTCCCCTGGGGATGAACAGCAGTGATTGATATTCTAATTAGGCATCAATCACCTTAGGGTGGGGACCAAACCTCCTTAACCCAACCCTCCAGCAAAGTCCTTCTCTGCCCCATGTGCGCTTGTTACCTGACTTCCAATTTGATCACCATTTAATCAATATTTCCCCAGCAACTATACTTGTTGTAACCTTAGTGGTTGACCATAGTCTTGTCCCACTTCATACCCATCTTGGGATTTCCCATTGGACCAATATTACCTAAGCAACTATACTTGTAATCTTATTGGTTGACTACAGTTCTGTCCCACCTTGAACCTGCCTCACCTCATGCTTTACTCAGTAAACACCCTTGAGAAATGGGGTTGGTGGACAACCCACTTTCTGGACCCCGTTCTGTCCCTCTGAGGCAGCTTTCTCTCTCTCAATAAATCCTTCCTACTCTTAAAACAAACAGAAAGAAACTTAAAGAAGAGACACTTAGCAATGTGGTCATATAAAATCAGTGCATAGTTCAGACAACACAATGAGTGATCCAAAACGTGTAACGTATATCTGTGTAATGAATGACAATCCTGTTATAAAATTAGCATCACAGTTTTCAGGGAGATGTAGCAGTGGCATGGATGCTGATGTCCACCCAGAACTGCCCGGACTTGAGGAACAGAAGACTTAGTCCTCCAGCTCTGGGGAGCACAGTTGGCAGGTGAGCCTTACCTGTAATCCTTTTTTGGGGTTGTCCTTGGCTGCCATGTTTTTGAGGCAGCCTCTATGATGATTGATCAACTTGAAGCCACAGAGGCTGATCCCCTTCCCCCAGCTCAGGACAACTCCACAAAGATCTATCTCGGGGCTGGAGATTTAGTTCAGTGGCACAGCGCCTGCCTGGCAAGTGCAAGATTGTGAGTTCGATTCCTGGTACCAGAAGAAAAACAAAACAAAACAAAACAAAAACCACAAAGATATATCTCAGGCTCAGAGTTCTCCATAGAGTATGCTGGAGTCTTGGTCCTGATATCATAATTCAACCACTCTGTCTGCCGCATCCTGCTGCATCTCTTTTCCACAAGTGTTGAGCCCAAGAGCGCTCCTTAAGTGACTTTTTAGTGCTGATCTCTGCCTCAGAGCCTGCTTCCCGGCAAAGCCACCCAGCACTCCTCCACCCCTACTTATGTCCATGCTCCTTGCAATGTCACTTACTAGCTTCTACAATCAAGAGTTGGGGGCTAATTTTGCCACACCTTAAATCTAAGATTGTGTTGAGATTTGCTTTGGTCAACAGAATGAGACAGAAGTGACCTTGCACTGGATCTGAGCCTGCACCTCCAGAAGCCTTGCATGCTTCTGCTCTCACTCTTGGAACCCTGCCACTACCCAGAGACCAAGCCCAGGCCAGCCTGCTGGAGTGCGAAAGACCTGTGGCCAAGCTGCCACTGTTGCCCCAGCTGACCGTGAACCAACCCCAGAAGCAGAGCCATCTAGCTGGCCACAGTGTGTGAATGAACCCAGCCAAGGCCGGAAGTAACACCTAGTTGAGCCCAGCCCAACTTACCAACCCAGAAATCTATGTGCTTAAAGAGGATTTGTTTTAAAGAGACTGAGAAAAAGCAGCTGCTTTTGCTGTAGCACTAAGAGAAACAGACCCAAAGTCTGATTCTCAGGGCCCCAAGATGTTAAAATCCAGGCCACCTCAAGAGGAACTGCCCTAAGAGGCCCCCTAGTCCATGCCCTAAATGCAAAGGTGACCACTGGAGATTGGTCTGCCCTCTGAAGCAGAGGTCCCAGAGCTCAGACCCATCCTACCAGTTAGTCCAACAGGAATGAGGGGGCCCAGGGCATACTCTGCCTTCTCCCTCTGGCCAGACTGTCATCTCCATGGAGGAGCCCCGGGTAATGATGACTATGGAGGAACAAAAAAACAGCCTGTTGCTATACACAAGTGCAAGTCTCTTAGTCCTTCTTTTCAATCCTGGCCTTCCTTCCAGCCATCATACCTCAGTGAAAGGAGTCACTTTCACGGAGGAGATAATATGCTATTTTTCACAATCCTTAGGCTGTAACTATTTGTTAGATCCTTCTTGTGTATCTCTGTCTTCCTGAGAAATCACTTTGAAGATACCACCATGTATTACAGCAGCCATTGATATTTTCCTCCTAACCTATCCATAACTTTGTAATGTTTGTATTGTTCCTATCCTATTTTGTAAATGGATGTATGTTTATTATTATGTGTTTCCTACAACAACCATTGAGAATAGTTAATGATTATTCAATAGGTCACTCATGTATAGCTCTATTTATTTTCTTTAGAAGCTACTTTGAAGATACCAAAGTATAGTACAACAATGATTGATAATCTCCTACCTTTTTTGTCTGTAACTCACTATTATTTGTCTATTTGTTTTCCTGAGAAACTATCTTGTAGATAACAATATGTAAAACAGTAATCATTGATAATTTCCTACCACTTTGTCTGTAATTTGGTAAGCCCCCCCCATTATTATGTTATCCTTCTTTTACTCTTTAAAATAAAAAATTAAAAAAAAGAAAAGTATTTGTTTTAAGCAAGTTGCCTTCAGGTGGATTTGCTACATAGCAATTCCTAACTGATACAAGAGGGATCAAGACCAAGAACACCAGAGCCCCAGAAAACAGCTTTCCATGAGAACATGGGAGAAATTTATTTCTTACCTCTATGAAGAAGCCTAGACACAAAAACATAGAAAGGAGGACAGAGGAGATGGTCAGCAGGCGAGTATGTGAGTAGGAGCAATGCTGGTTGAAGCAGCAGGCAGAATTCCCCAGGGGCAATGGGGCTGTGTTCATGGACATGGGATGAGATCTAGAGGTGGAAATACCTAGCACCTAGTGGTTATTTTGAACTTGCTGCTTCTTTTTTTTTTTTTTTTTGATGTAACCACTTATGTGTATTTGCATCCCATCTAAATTTTCAGCAAATCTCCTTATAAAACAAGAACCTTTGCTGGCCATGGTATCACATGCCTGTAACCCCAGCACACTAGAGGCTGAGGCAGGAGGATTACCAGGAGTTTGAGCCAGCCTGGGCTACAGAGTGAGTTCAAGGCCAACCTGAACTACATAGTGAGATCCTGTTTCAAAAAACAAAATAAAACAAAAAACAGGAACCCTCACTCTGCAGGTGAAAGTATAAACATGGCACATAACCTCGGAGATCAGCAGTTTGATAGTATTTATCTAGTGATACACAAAATGCGTATGCCCTCTGAGCCAACAGTTTCAATTCTATATGCACGTGTGCACCAGGAAATTCATACAAAATGTTTGCTCTTCACAGCATCGTCTGTTACAGGAAGTTTTGGACGAACTTTAATTGTCTACAAATAGAGCTTCAGATAGATGCATTTATAAATATTTATGTGATAATATACTGCATAACAGTTAATATGAACAAACTATATGTGTCTATATGTATCATCAAAAACAATTCTTAAAAACACATTACTGCTTTAAAAAGTCATGTTGCCTAAAATAAAATATGATCCCATTCATGTGCATTTTAAAACCATGCAAGACAAGCACTTATGAATTCATTCTGTCAGTATAAAAGCAAGATTTGGAACCATAGACCTCAAATTCCTGTTGAGGGATTCCTCTGGGGAGGGAGGTAGACATAGGAGATTTTACTTTTAGTCCTGTTAGATTTTTAAAAATCAGAAGGTAAATGTTGTAAAGTGGTAACGCTAACTTGTGAGAGCTGGAGAGCATGGGTATTTATTAGATTACTCTGTTCTTTTCTGTATTTAAAATTTATACTGAGAAAAAATCTAATTATATCCATGAATGCTTTCTGTGATTTGAGCAGTTATTTGTCTGTGCATGTGGCTGAGCTTCACATCTGGGACACAGAGATTCGTGCCAGAATCAGGCCTGGGAGGCAGATGCTACTGAGCATGTGAGTCCCTCGGGGTCTCCCGGGGCTTGGGCCCTGTGGACCCGAAGGCCAGCCATGGAGATGGAGCCTGAGTCCATCTTCCTGCAGTCCCCCACGACCCTGGGGACGTCTGGGTACATCTATAATTGTTGCAGACATTGGCACCAGCAGAAGCAGGTCTCATAAATTAAATGAGCGGTGAGGAAATGTTTCTCGGTTTGCTCATATTCAGTGTCTATGATCCGGCTTCACACAGATGATTTTCTCTGATAAGTGTACAGCTCCACACACGCTTTAGGAACGTCTCTGGAAGTGACCGAGTTGGGAGCATTAGTTGATGAGAGAGACAGAGCTAAAAACCAGCGCTGAGCAAAGGAGCTGCGGGTGAGTCTGCAGTGAGGAGGAGATTCAGGCAAACTCCCTGGTTCTCACCTCAGAACCCACGCCCACTTTGGACATTCAGTTCACCCTCACCTCCTGTCTCTCTGGCTAAATTTCCTCTCTAAAATCTCAACATGTACCTGCATTTCATCTTGATTCCTGTCCCAGGCCTTGTTAGAGTCGTGGTCAGAGCTGACTTTGTACCCCATAAGTTGTGTGATGGACAAGTCAGCTTCACTGAATCTCAGTTTTCTCACCCACGAAATATAGATTGCAGTCTTTGCCTTCCCACATGGCTGTTTTTAAAAACTAAATAAAATAATGGGCAGAACAGTGCACTTGCACCCTGTAAGGCTCTATATAGCACAGTTGTAAACTAGTCCATATTTCTTGGGAGCAACTGCTATAGATTCTTTTATTTCTTTAAATTCAAAAGGGATAGGAACAAGGACCAGGAAAAGAAAAGAAAAAAATGATAGGGACAAACCACTGAGGGAGTGCAGGGTCGCTTTACTATTATTAAAATCACTGTAGTTGCTCCAGGAGAAGGCGCTACAACACTGTGGCCTTCCCGTGTCACTGAGTGGGGCTTGCTTCGGGCTGCTGTGATATCGCAGCAGTCACAGGGACGAGCCTGTACCACTGTGGTGGTGAGTGGAAGCTTCCTCCCCCGCAGCGGGGCCAGGTGTGACATCAGGTATTCATGTCACAGCTCTTGCACTCATCCGTTCGCCTCTGGAGTACAGATGCCCAAAAGGCTTCGTGCCAGTGCTATTTACATATCTCTCCTTTTTTTGTTTTTGTTTTTGTTTTTTTCCCGGTACTGGGAATTGAACTCATGACCTTGCGCTTGCCAGGTAGGTGCTGTGCCACTGAGCTAAATCCCCAGCCCCTACATGTCTCTCCTTAATAAAAGCCACAGTTAGTTTTCCCTATTTCCAGTCTAAAAATTGGATCTGTTTCCTTTAGCAGGGCTGGTAACAGAAGTTTTAAAACTTTCATAAGATGTAAAAAAAAGAAAGAAAAAGTACAAAAATAATAACCCATATTTCATTATGTTTAATCTTGGCATATTTTCTTCCAGTCATTTTAAAAACTAACTCTATTGGTTTGGGAAAATTTCACAATCCTTTTATGAAAAATCAAATGATGCAGGAAAGAAATATGAAAGGAGGGGAAAAATTACACCAAATTCCATTATTGAGAAATTACAAGAGATGAAACTATTTGAAACATCTGTCTATGCTGATATAAAATTAGGAAGATGAGACAAAACATTTTACTAAAGTGGGATTATGTTATGGGTTCAAATTTTAGTTAAGATATTACTTTTTTGTTATAATTTACTTGAAGAAAAAGGAACTGGGGAAACTAAAGGAATTATTGAGTCAAATGTTTCTATACGTCAAGAGATAATTTCTTAAAATATCCCTCTAAATTTGTAAAGACAGGGTTACAAAGCACAAAAGTTGTGGTCATTATGCTTTTATTTTAAGCTATGTGTTTCAGGCCCAGTGTGGTGGCGCACTCCTGTAATTCCAAAACTCGGGTGGCTGAGGCAGGAGGATTGCCATGAGTTTGAGGCCAGCCTGGGCTACAAAATGAGTTCAAGGTCAGCCTGAATTGCACAGTGAAACCCTGTCTCAAAAAGACAAAGAACAAATAAACTATGTGTTTAATTTTGTCTATCTTTTTATATCTATTTGTTCAATGTCTATCTTCCCATTTTGAAAATGATGACACTAGCCTCTTATTTTACCTCCTATTGTTGTTATTTATGTTATTATTTTTACAACATTCAGATGTTTATCTTTTTTTGTCTTCTAATGACAAATCTAATGGAACTTTTTTATTTTTATTTTATTTATTTATTTTTTTGAGACAGAGTTCTCACCAATTTGCTCAGACTGGCCTGGAACCTGCTGTCCTCCCACCTCAGTCTCCCAAGTAGCTGGGATTACAGGCATGGGCCACTATGCCCAGCATATATCTTTTTAATTTGAGATTTAATCCACGTATAAAACTCACCATTTGTCTTTTTGAGACAGGGTCTCCCTATGCAGTTCAGGCTGGCCTTGAGCTCACTTCGTAGCCCGGGCTGGCCTCAAACTCACAGCGATTCTCCTGCCTCAGACTCCTGAGTGCTGGGATTACAGGTACATGCCACCATGCCTGGCTGCTATTGTGTTTTGCTCCTTTTACTTAGTACAATATTTTCAAAGTTCCTCCATGTCACAGCATGTTTCAGTGCCTCACCCCTTTTCAACAATCAAGTAACATTCCATCGTGGAATCTAAAGCATTTTGTTTCCCCATTAATCAACTGATGGACATTCGGGTTGTTTCCATTTTGG